TTTTGCTTTCAATTTTTAAATTAGATTGGTTTTGTTTAATTGCGAACATGTGGAACTAATTTCGTTTTAGCTAGAGGTGAATTCAAAGCCATGAACATATGTGTGATATGAATTAATTACATCCAGTTATTGTTTCATAAATCGTGAATGGAATTTACTTATCTGTTTGATTGATAACTTGTTCTTGTGTGTTGATTAAGGATGCATACTTAGTTTGCATGCAGAGATTTGATGCTAAAATATAAGGGAGTTTCACCTAATAGTTATGAACTTATATTTACAAGTAATGGAGGTTGCTAGTCACGGTCGTGTTAAGTAAACGAATGCCTTGTCCATACTTATGATTTTCATAGAACTTAATGATCTTTGATATGTATCTCTATTATGCAGTTCATGTAGGGAACTTGATAAGGATAATTTGGTAGCGTCGCTAAGTCCAATTCAATGAATTTAGGAAAATCATTAAGTTAATTTGTGCTTCTCATGATTAATTTGGGGCATTGTCATTCCTGGTTCATAGGAAGAATAACTAGAAATCGATTTGTATGCATATGTGTCATGTGTGGAGAAGGACCCTCTAGCTAGCCTTTCACCCCTTTCATTCACTCTGATTTCGTATTGCCTTTATTTTGTTTCTGCAAGTACTTAGGTTTACTTTAAATTCGTCAAAACCACCCCCATTTAGTATTCTGAGTCTTTTTAGTTTAATTTTCGTCCAACTCATCCTCTACCTTTAGTTGTTGTTTTAAGTCAATTTAACTTAGTTTTGTGTTATTTGATTCAGTTTAGCTTGTTTTGAGTTGTTTGATTCTAGTTTTCAGTTTTTAAGTTTAATTTGTGTTGATTAGCATCCCTAATTAATCACAGGCCTAGAACGATCCCTACCTACGCGTTCTACAACTATCTTAATAGGGTCTAATTTGTGTGTTAGTTTTTACCACATCAGGTTTAAACCCTTGAAATTTTGACATAGAAACATAGCTCAAACAAGATTATAACTGACGAAAACCACGTTGAGGATTAGAACCTTACCTAAGGTGGAGTTTGAGAGAGCTCAAGCTCTCAGTGTTAATGGCATAGCACACGGGGATGCTTTGATAGCGCATGCAAAGCTGTAGGTGAATTCCTCATGTCCTAAAGGTTAAAGGTTCCAGTTTCCAAGGTTTGATTTGGTCAGAGAAGGTGGTTCATCGGAGAAATTGAGGGTGAAGGTCCTTGGCCTTTCGGCCTCTCTGTTTACAGAGATGAAGAAGATGATGGAATGAGAGAGATAGTTTTAAAAAATTAATAAAATTAGTGAGTGGGAAAAGAGAGAGAAAGAGAAGAAGAACTGGTTAAAAAAAATGAGAGGGAAATGAGGCATATGTGTCAGAGAGAGAGAGAGCCATGTGAGGGAACTAGCCAAAAAGAAGGGAAAATGATGTGATGTGTGATGGAGCAAGTTTTGGGTTTCTAAAACCAAAAATAATATTTGTTTAAAGCAACTTGCCCACCATCCCTCATCATTTGAAGGCTGATATATGCTTCCCACACCAGACCAAGGCAGTGGTGCACATTGCATGAGGTTGGTTTTTAAAGTTTGAACCTCTCTCAGGTGAATTTATAATGTTTCGAACATAACTTGTTCATTATAATTCCAAATTGAGTTCCGTTTGCGGTCACATGTTCATACAAATGAGTACTATTCAAAAATAGTAAAATAAGACTGAAAATGAAAGGAAAATTGAGGTCCACGTGGAAGGCCATCTTAGGGGTATTTTGATAATTTCACTACTACTGAGAATAAAATGATAAATCGCCAAAATGGTCCTTGAGATTTGCATAACTCATCACTTTGGTCCTTGAGATTCCAAATCGATAAAAGTGGTCCCTAAGATTGTCCACCATCCATCATTTTGGTCCTTCCGTTAAAAACTCCGTTAAGTGTCCTGAAGCTCTTGGCCAGAAGTTTGGGCAATTTTCAAAGCTTCGTAACTCAATTGTTTCTTAACCAAATTCGACCCATAATATATCAAAATGAAGATAAGAAAGTGTAAAATAAGATTATACCTATTTCAAAGCCCAATGGTTGCTGGAGATGGCAGGAAAATAGCCTCAAAGTTTACTGGTCCGAGTGAAAATTTGAAAACTCACCAGAAATTGGGTAAACTTTAAACGTTCATAACTCCTTCAATACTTAACAAAATCAAGTGATTCAAAAACAAAAATCATACTTCTCGACATGACGAAGATAATGGTACCCTTTTTGACGAAAAAACTGCTCGAAAGTGGCTAACTCAAGACCAAGACAGCCACTTTCGATCCGTTTCCCAGCCAAACCACGGAGAATTAGCCATCATTAAAGGTACCATTCTCTTTGTCTCGTCAATAAGTATGATTTTCGTTTTTGAATCACTTGATTTCGTTGAGTATTCAAGAAGTTATGAATGTTTAAAGTTTACCCAGTTTCTGGTGAGTTTCCAAGTTTTCACTCGGACCAGTCAATTTTGAGGCTATTTTCCAGCAATCTCTGGCAACCGTTGGGCTTCAAAATAGGTATAATATTATTCTACACTTTCCTATCTTCATTTTGATATAGTATGGGTCGAATTTGGTAAAGAAACGATTGAGTTACGAAGCTTTGAAAATTGCCCAAACTTCCAGCCAAGAGCTCCGGGACGATTAACGAAGTTTTTAATGGAAGGACCAAAATGATGGATGGTGGACAATCTCAGGGACCACTTTTATCAATTTGGAATCTCAGGGACCAAAGTGATGAGTTATGCAAATCTCAGGGACCATTTTGGCAATTTACCTAGAATAAAATAAGATAAATCTCGGGACGGGATGTCACATGAAATTGTCCACCATCAATCATTTTGGTCCTTGAGTGAAAAGTTATGTTAAATAAGTATCAAAATGACAAAATTACCCTCAATTTAATAAATAGTAAGCCAAAATGATGACCAAAATTGAGGGTATTTTTGTCATTTTATCCTTATTCTATGAAGATTGTTCACGAACTGACCAAAATGATTGTTTGTGGACAAACTCAACGACTAATCTATCAATTTCAAATCCCAAGGACCAAAATGATGAGTTATGCAAATCTCAGAGACCATTTTGGCTAAAAGCCTTATTTTTATTTTGGTATGTTTTATTTCATACACATTGTGTATTGGTACGTTTATATTATTCTCAATCCTATTTTCTCTAAATGTACTAAAAGATAAACGTATTTTGGTACGTTTGATTTTGTGGGATTTAAAAATATTTTAAACTGTTTTGGAAAGAAAATATCTTAAATCGTAGATAATCAGTGCTAATTGTAGCATTATTGTGAAAATAAATTGAATCTAACCAACTTTTTTTTGGGCCACTTAGTACTACGGTCTAATGATATTCTTCGTCACTTGTAAGTGAGAGGACTTAGGTTCGATTCTTGCCAAAAGTGAATTTGAACCACATTATTGATAGTCCATTGTGAGGCTAAGCCCACCTCTCCCTTTTAGTGCAGATAATATCATTTGTTCAAATAAATAAAAAAATACTAGTCAATATTAACGAACTTTTTTTTGTTACAATTATCTCTAACAGAGGAGAGTGTAATCAAAAGGCTAGATTACATGAAATTTGTTTCAATATGATGTGCATATTTTTTTGCGTCAGATTTTAGTAAAGATGGGTAGTGGCATGTCATGTAATTTTGGTATAGAAAAATGATTAATTCTGATACATATAGAACCAAAATCAGGACAAAAATGTTTAATCAAATCACCAAACGGCATGAATGTTTGATCTAAGAAATTTAAAACAAAGGCACTATATCAAACGATCATTTTTTTTAAACAAATGATAGTATCTACACTAAAGGGGTGGTAGAGTGGGCTAAGCCTCACAGTGGGCTAAACCATAATAATGTGGTTCAAATTCGCCTTTAGCGAGAATCGAACTTAAGGCCTCTTACTTACATATGAAGAACAATATCACTAGACTGTAGTACTAAGTTGCAGAAATCAAATGTAATTTGAAACTTTGTGACAGAAATCAAATCTAGTATGAAACTTTGTAAATTTAAAACCTCATTTATATTTTTATAGGTATATAATTAGATTTGACGAGCAAGGATGGGTATGGCTGAGCTGCTAGAGGTTATTGGGAGTGACGGTGGGGGGAAGGGAGCTTGGTGTCTTTGGAGACGGTGGGAAAGAAGAAGGGGGTGTTGATGGGGGAGAGGAAGCCATGAGATGGATTTTCCATGAGTAAAGTAATAAAATAATGGGAATTTTGCGCAACTATCATATGAATTTGGAAGTATATGAGCCAATACCACATGAACTTCCAGTTACTTTCTATCCACTCTGCCATTAAAACATATCACCTGTAAGGATATTTTCGTCAATTAACTTCATAGGGTAGCTAGAATAAAATGTCTGCAAAATAAAATTGTCTTAGTCATATGGCGCCAAAATTGGGGATACGTCTCCAGTTTGGCAATTCTCTCCATGAAAGTTTTTAAAAATTAATATTTGAATAAATTAAGGTGAACTACGCACTTTTGACCAAAAAAAAAAGGTGAACTACGCACACACTCGTCGACCTACAGAAAGTCACCATAAAAGAATGACTAGATTTTTGACATAATTTCTACACAAGATATTTGTAATTCTATAAAGCTCATAAACAATATAAAACACACTAAACTTGTGCTTCAACAACTATAACAAATAAGTTATAGAAAATCAGGTTTTATACCAAAATAAGCTTTAATAAGCTTAGAATATGATCAAATGATATTAAACACTTGTATTATGAAATACCCAATAAAAATTTCAACATGATCAAATGATGGGATTCAAAAGGAACGTCCATTTCTAACTTCCAGGTACAAGATTAGAAGCGTGAAACAGAAAAAGGTTGAGTTCAGAAATAGACAAGCGTTGGCGGCGGAGCAGGAGCAAAAAATAAGCCAAATCAAGTAATCAACCATCAACCACGAAAAAGAAAGAGAAAAAGAAAAAAAAAAGGAAGAAGAAGGAGGTTGGGGTATCGAAATCGAATAGAGAAGGGGAGCCAACGAGAGGTTAGGGCGCTGCAGATTGGATTGGGGGTGGTTGAAAGTAGTAAATAGCATTGCACATTTTTTATTACCAGAGTGGGATAAAAACTTGTTCTTCTTCTATTCTCACGCTCCCCCCCCCCACCCCCCCTTCTGTTCGTCTCCCTGAATGCCTTACCAGTGTTCAGGGTAACAACTACAATTACAGCAACTTGTTCATCTCTGTCGATTTCTTCTTTTCTCTCGATTTCCTTACGTATAAATTGTTGTGCATGTTTCAGACTATCGTGGCGATTTATGTGCGGAGGAGCGAGGGAAATATAGGTTGCTTTTTCAATTCAAATTTTTATCTCTACTTGTATATTTTGTTTGTTGGTTTTATTTAGGTGTTACGTTGTGATTTTTTGGGTTGGTAATTGGAATGTAATGAAATTATTATCAATAAATAAAGGAGAAATTAGGTTTTCATCATTCCTTTTGCTACTCCATTGATTAAAATCCTATTCTTTTTCAATTTTTGATCAAAGTCCTTGAGTATTAATAGCATCATTAATTATTTCAATAATAAAATATTTTTTTATTTCTAAATATATTCATGTTAAAAATGTTACAATTAGTATATTTATATTTAAGGAAAACTAATGAAAATGGCTTGAAAATTTTGAGTTTTAATGATAAGGACAAAATAAAGGGTAAAGTGAATAGTACTAGGATTGACTTTTTAGTGTAAAAATGTGGTTTTTCGTTAAAGTGAACAATACCCGGTGCTTTTCGTTAAAGTTTCCTTATATTTATGACTAAATTTTTTTATCATATATTTTTAGTTTTAGTTTGTACCCATTTTTAATTTGTAATTCTTTTTTAATTTACCAATTTTCTTTTCAGTTTTAATTTGTACCCGTATATATTTTTTTTTGTGCCCATATTTTTTAAAGTTTATTTGTATTTGTACCCATATTTTTTTTATTTGTACTTTTTATTTGGCTAAATGTACCCATGCTAATTATATATACCCATTCATGTAAAACTTTTTAATTTTAAAATGTATTCATTCTTAAATATGTCAATTTGTTATATGTAAAATGTACCTTTTTTATATAAAATCTATTCATTTTTTTTCTAATCCATTTTTAAACTTATATGGGTACATTAATTTTTTTTTCTTTGATTTGAAAATGTATCCATGTCAAGTTTAATTGAAGAAATTTACTAATGTTATTAAGCCTAATATCTTTTTTTTTTTTTGTGATTTTGAAGAATGTACCCATGTTTTGAAGAATGTATCCATTTTTGGTTAATTTTGATGAATGTACTCATGTTTATATACACACACACACGCAATAGTATATTTATATTTTAATATTTTTAGTCCCACAAATTATGGTTTTTTATTTAAAATCTCATTTATATAAACAACTAAAATTTCTAATTTTTAATTTAAAAAATATAGTAACGTACATAAAAATAAATTATCACATTAATTTCAGGGACCTTGATAAAAAATTAAAAACCAACAAGGTTTCAATCAAAGAATAGTCATAGTTAAGGACCGTATCCAAAGTCTCCCAGAAATAAATAATGAAAGCAAATATATATATACATGCAGGAGGTTGTGACGTAACGTATTGATGCGAAATGGAGACAAGTTGGTGTGTAACTTTGGTCATTCACAAATTATGGCATTGAATTCGTTCCAGCATATTTGCCACTCTCCGGTCAGATCATTAATTCACGTCTTTCTGTACATGGCCTTTCTTTCTTTTATTTCCACAATTTATATGTTAATGTTCTCTTGCTCTCCTAAACCTTAATTTCTTTTCTTTCTTTCGTTCAATAGATTTGCTCAGGAAAAAAAATAATCATATCAAGTTACACAGTTTTTAACATTGGACATATGATCGTGTCAGTTATTAACACTTGACTTGTTGATTAATTAGAAAGATAACTTTCTGAAGATATGCATTCTGATGAACGGACAACAATGAGAATATTTTCGAGTGACATCTGAATTAGTTTACTACCATCCAGAAAAAAAAAATGAAGATACGTTTTAGAATGTTGATTTTTCGAATTGAATGCCAAATTAATTGTGGTTGCTCAGACTTTCGTGACATGGATATCGTTATTGTTGCTAACATTTTATAGAATGCATATTGTTCTTGTTAGAAATTGATCTTAATTTAGTTGTGCTTATGTCAAATATGCAGATTTATGTAACCTAACTTGCCAAGGAAGACTAATTCTCAGGGAATCTTTTGAGAGGAACAAGAGCCTCTGGCATGCACTGCTTCCATTCTTATTTGCATGAGAATTGTCAAAATGGCTGTAGCAGTTGATCAACATCACGGATTCAAGACATTTAGCCGATCCCAGAGATGCAGATTACAGTCCTACACTCAACTTGATTATAACATTCTTGCCCACTCCTTAAAACATGCATTCGGTGATGCTAATTTTCATAAAAGCTTCTCCACCCCATGTCTATCCCTAACCACTGCATCGGAGGAAGATTTTGACACTAATCCAAGAATTGAGATTGTTGGTGGCAGTAGGATACCTAGGGTACATGCTCTTGTAGTCGAGGTTGCCATATCTATGGCGTCTGGTGCCGACCTCCTGCCAGTGTCAAGTGGACTAGGCGGTGCCTACTACTTATGTAGCAAAAATGGCGACAATATTGCTGTGGCAAAGCCCATAGATGAAGAACCTTTAGCTTTCAATAATCCTAAGGGTCTCGGAGGCAGGATGCTGGGCCAACCTGGTTTGAAACGCTCAGTTCGGATTGGTGAATCTGGAATCCGAGAATTGGCAGCATATCTCCTTGACCACGGTGGATTCGCTGGTGTTCCTCCAACAGCTTTAGTGAAAATTTCTCATGTTGCATTCCACATTAACAAAAATGCAGGCGCAATTTCAGCTTCACCCTATAAGATTGCTTCTCTGCAGCGCTTCGTGGATCATGACTTTGATGCTGGAGAGTTAGGTTCTTCAGGCTTTTCAGTAGCTGCTGTCCATCGTATTGGAATTTTTGATGTAAGACTCCTGAATCTTGACAGGCATGCAGGGAACATGCTTGTTAAGAAATATGAGCAGCACAACTATGCAGCTGGGGTGCTTGAGCTTGTACCTATTGACCATGGTCTTTGCCTTCCTGAGTGGCTTGATGATCCATATTTCGAATGGTTGCACTGGCCTCAAGCTTCAGTTCCTTTTTCCGAGTCTGAAATCGAGTACATATCCAAACTTGACCCCTACAAAGATGCGGAGCTTCTACGAACTCAGATTCCTTCTTTCCGGGAGGCTGCTATTCGTGTTCTTGTGCTATGCACCATCTTCTTGAAGCAGTCTGCTGCTTCAGGGCTCTGTCTTGCTGATATAGGAGAAATGATGACTCGGCAGTTCTGTGCCGACGAAGAAACATTGAGTACATTGGAGAATTTGTGCATGCAAGTTAAGAATGCCATGCCTACTAGAGACAACGAGAAGAAAGGAGAAATCGGAGAAGTTGAAATATTTGAATTTGACAATGAAAATAAAGAAGGGTTTAATGAGAATATGGATCTTCCGAGCCATCCCGAAATTATTATGTCAAGGTTTTTATCAGCGGGATCAATGACTGGGTTGGCCGATGCATCTCTGTCTCCTCTATTCGAGGAAAATGATCAAACCATTGACAACTATGATAGAAACACTATAACAGGCAGCAACAATGTTGGTGATGATGGAACTACTAGTGATGGTCGCGGTCGTAAGGTAGGGGTTTTGATGAAGAGCGGGAGTTTCTCAGCAGCGACCCTCAGTTGTGAAACTCGGAGAGCAATATCATTTGGAGACATGAGTGGAGACGAATGGGAATTGTTCTTGGACCATTTTGACAAGTTTTTGGCGCACAAACTGGAGGAGGGCAACAAGTGCTTGAGCTCGAAACTGAGGTTGGGAACTTCCTGCAACTTCTGAGATTAATCTTATGGAGTGACTGTACATTATTACCAAATGAAATGATGATAGATAGAGTAGATTGTAAATAAATACATACCGTTTTACCGATTTACCAATGTACCATAGATAGGTACAACCTCTAAAGGAGGAGTTGAGATCGGTGGAAACGCCATCCTTCCTCTCTATGTACGCACCTGTCAGTCTTCTACGTTATCTTGTATTGTTGCCCTGCTGCACTGACATAGAATTGCTTCTCTTGCACATGTTTTTGCTTGGGAATTATTGAATTGTTCAGACGGTTGATATTGTTAACAAGTTTTCTTTTCTTTTATTTTTTTTTTCCAAAGTTACTATTTTTCTTTTTGAGTTAAATAAGAATTTGTTGAGATTCGGGTGATCAATTTCAATCGAGTTAATAATAATTTATCTAACCCAACTCACCTATCGGATGGGTGGTCGGGTTTCTATCCAAAAGTAATTTGTAAATTTTACAACCCTATCCATTTCAGTAGAGTTGGTCTGTAAACCTAGTAGAACGCCAAGGACGTTTTTTGTAATTTTCTAGCGTTAGGGAATAAAATAGGATTAAAATTGGAATGGGATGTGACAAGTAAACCCACTAGAATGCCCACCCTAATTAAAAGAAGTAAAAATAGGAGAGTGAAAGAGAGATTAACTCGGACTTGCTCGCAAGGAATTTGAAGGCTAAACGGTACATATTCCAGTTTACTCCGAAATGCATGGTGTTTGGTAACAATATCCATCCTCAACAGGAGCAGGTTGCCTCTCAGACAGATAGTTAGGGGCAATTATGAGACCATGATTTTCCAGGGCCTGAGTAAGTCTAATCCGAATACTGTTACTTCAGAAGTCCAGTCATGGACTCACCAGCTCCGAGCAGAGCTATATCAGACGGATCAAGGTGCCACCATCACTCTACTTTGGGCCACTAGGTAGAGTCCAAGCGACTCCGCTGGGTGACTATGCTTGTTCCGCAACATGCATGATCTAATCCGGATATGGACACAGTCAAATCTTATAAGTCTTGGAATCCCTACAATCTAGGGATAGGCTTGAGCCGCAAGTAATCACAACTCCTAAGAGGATGCAATATCTACTTACTAGATATCCTTTAGGATTCTCCCGGCTTAGAACGAGGATTCCATCCTAAAAAGTTCTCTTTGCAGTCTTATGCTGGCTTACGATTGTATATTGTTTTGTAGGTTGCTCGAGTTTGTGCTCAACCACCGCTTACGCAGTTGCACAGATTTAGTTGCAACAGTTTATTCATGTTTGCTATACAATGTGTACAAAAGAGAATGATATGATGAATCTAACTTCTATAGATCACATTCTCTTAATTACATATTCCTTGGACTTATTGTTTATGCATATGACATATTTATGAACTAGCTTTAAACAATAATTTTTGCCCTTATATTAAACTAATTTTGTTTAACATGTGTAAAGTCCTTAACTTATTATCATATAATTGAATTTAGGGTACATTTCCAATGTGAATCACTTTTCTCAAAAGTTTGAATCTTGATACAAACAAAACGCAAAGAGTCCCATAGAAACAAAGCGCAAAGTGACCCATACGCTCACAACCCACGAGCCCACACTGCATCATGTTCAATATTCTCGATATTTTTTTAATCTGACTTCAAAACATTATCCATCGCTTTACCTTGAAGCATACGTGAACCGACTTGTTTTTTTATTTTATTGTGTTTTTTAAATCTAAAATTTCCGTTCACTCATTGTTTTCGAACACTCAATCAACTCCTCACTCTTCCTCCAAGATTTGGACTTTCAATAATGGCTTCTTTAACACCAATTTCACAATCCCAATAATTTTTTAACAAAACCCAGTTCATAGGGATGGGCAACGGTTATGGCGGGCGGGTAACCGCAATTATTTACCCATAACCATTTATGCTCATACCTGCATAACCGTTTACCCGTTGGGTAATTGCCTAAACGGTTATACCCATACCCATAACCATTTATAAACGGTTAACCATACCCATAACCGCATATCTATTTAACCGTAACCGTTTAATACCCATTTACCATTTTTAACCCATTTATCAGTTTTTTTTTTTTTTACCATTACCCATTTTCACCCGTCTACATGTTTTTTAACAACTTGAAAATTTAAAAAAAAAATTTATAATTTTTTTTTTGACAATTAAACACCGTTAAATTTTTTTTTGACAATTCATCATCCATTTCCATATTTAAAATTTTTAAGTCCTTATACCATTCCTGTGACATCCCACATCGCCCAGGGGAGTGATCCTTAAATGTATATTTTCATCCCTACCTAGCACGAGGCCTTTTGGGAGCTCACTGGCTTCGGGTTCCGTAGGAACTTCGAAGTTAAGCGAGAAGGATGCCAGAGCACTTCCAGGATGGGTGACCTACTGGGAAGTTGCTCGTGAGTTCCCAAAAACAAAACCGTGAGGGAATGGTAAGCCCAAAGCGGACAATATCGTGCTACGGTGGTGGAGCGGGCCCGGGAAATGATCCGCCCCGGGCTGGGATGTGACAATTCCAATAATTGAAATAATTGCCGGCAAAGACACAACGGCGGGCACTGTTACGTGGATTATTTATATGCCAACGTAACGAGAGCAATCCATTTTCCAATCTCTCCCCTTGAAAAATAAAGATTTTTAGGGAATAGAACAAATAAAAAACACGGACAATAGGAAATATATAACTTGTATGGTAACTATATGTAGAAAATAACCTCAACATGTAAAACAATATTGAAGGAAGGGTAAAGAAAATGTAGGGGATCAATAGCCCTGTAAGAATGTTCGATTTCCAGTTTGTTCGATCCAAGATCAACATATAGCTACAGTAAACACATAAACAAATCTAATGCATGCATACTGCAAGGGAAATGATTTCAGTGCATTCCCGTTTATTTTTCTCACTTAAATTTCTTTTGATTTATTCAATTTAAGGATAAAAATACCGCACGGATTATCGTTTATTACTTTTTAATTAATTAAAACACCGCTATATAAATCACACTATAGTCAATACCATTGATCTAAGTTTTGTCCAATAGAGAACATATTTTGTGTTAATTTTACATATATATAATAAATGGGTAAACGGTTACCCGTTTATAACCGCGGTTAATACCCATAACTGCCCATTTACACTTTGCGGGTAAACGGTTATCCCCATAACCGTTTATTTATCTAAACGGTTACCCATAACCGTAACCATTTAATTTAAATGGACGGGTAACCGCGGTTACCCATAACCAATGGGTATTTGCCCATCCCTACCAGTTCAAGTTACCGGCAACTTGCTGAAGATGAAGAAAAGGCACCTGCTGAAGACGAAGGGGTTCATTAAAGAGATGAGACTTGTAGCCATGAAGTTGTACATCAGAGACCAGGCGAATAAGGGGGAAAAGGATTGGCTTGAGTGGTCGATGGCTAAGTGGGACCCAACAGTTGATGGGTATTTGAAGTTTTTGGTGGATCGCAAGTTGGTGTATGATATGCTTGAAGGGATTGTTGAAAAAGCCCATTTTTCTTCTTGTTAAACTAAGTTTGGATTTCGATCATGTGTGTTGGGTGTTGAATGATCTCATTATACTTTGGCTGTGTGGATCCTTTTTTGGCTATGTTTGATTTCACGTTTTATAGCACCTAGGAATTGTTAATCTCTTTTCGTTAGGTGTTATTGATCATGTATGTTTCTTTGATTGTGTAGTGATATTGCACAAACAAAGAAACACTATATATTCATCTATTCACCCACAACATTCATGTTAGGATATTGCATCAACTTACTGATAGGAGCATATTTATGCGCCTTAGTTTAGCTTGTTCTTGTGCATTTATAGTGTTTTTCCTTAGTAAAGTAGTCTTTTAAGCTAGTTTTATGTGTTTTCAGGTTCTAAGGGAAAAGTATGCAAAAGGATGCATTTTGGAGCCTTTTGGAGCAAATTAGAGCTTGGAATGGACATCATATATTTGGAGCCAAGTGGCATCAAGTTTCAGCAACAAAGAAGTTTTCCAAGTCCAAGAAGGAAAGGTTTTCCAAGATGAAGAAGGAGAAGAATTCCAAGTCAAGGGAGGATTGAGACATGTTTTCCTAATGCTAGAAGGGCTCCTAAGTGTTGTAGGACACAAATGAGAAGTTTCTAGAGTGTTCCCCTCCTTGCCGTGAGTTTCCTACATTTCCTATCAGTTTTGGGGCTTTCTAGAAGCCCTATCCCTAATCCCTACATTGGTGCCGCACCCTAGCTTCGAGATGCCCTAGTTCCTTGCCTTGCAAGGCATTCTAGAAGCCTTATCCTTCCTCTCCCTATCCAGCCGCACCTAGGAGGTCTTTTCCCCTTTTAATTTTGATTTTTAAGCCTCATTCCTTGTGGATTTGGGTTATTCCAGTCCATATCTGATTTACCTAGGGTTTTAAGTGCCTATAAATACTCATAAACCCCCTTGGCCGAACTCACCACTCACCACTCACCACAATTCACAATTCACTCCAGAAATTCGTCCAACCCTCTCCACACTCTTGCCACAGCCACCAAACACCATTCCCCCTAGTTCTAAGTTCTTGCCGCACCATTCCCATCCCCTAAACACTACTACATTCCTCCATAACCATGCATCCATACACCTAAGGCCCTAAACCTGTCCCTAGACCCTTTGCCGCACCAAGGAGGAGGAGAAGGAAGCTTGGAAGTTCATGCAATTCAAGTTCGTGTCGCTGGAATTTCTAGGTGTTTCTTTTCCTTTGATTTCAATGTTTAAATTCAATTCTCTTTGTTTTGTGCGTATGAGGAACTAAACCCCCCTTGGCTAGGGGGGGATTCGAAATACATGTTTATGCTTGCGATATGATTTGATTACTTCTAATTGCGTTTCATAAGTTGTGAATTCAATTTACTCTATGTGAATTACATTGATTTGTGTGTGTTGGTTGAGAGTGCACGCTTAATTCTCATGCATAAATTGAATGCTAGGATATAAGGAAATTTCACCTAATCGTTATGGACTTATATTCGCAAGTAGTAAAGGTTGATGATCTCACTCGCGTTAAGTAAATTCTTGGCATAAGTTTCATGCAATCATAGTAACAAGTGCTTCGTCAATGCTTATGGTTTTCATAGAACTTAATGATTCTTGCTTGTATCTCTGCAATCATGTAGGGGACTTGTGGGGAATGCTTTGGGTTGTCGTATGCAATCATCCAATTCAATAACGTTAGGAAAATCTGAAGGTTAATTTAAGCGGACCTAATTAACTTGGGGCGTTGAGAATTCATGGGTTATT